TCCCAGCCTCGGCGCTAAGCCAGGCTGGCTCTCTCTCCAGACAGGGAGGGTTGGCTGGGGAAATGAGAAGTGAACGGCTTGCTAAAATGTTTTACTTCCCTGCGTCCTCCGCGGGGCTTTAATGAGGGGCCATGCATCACTTGGCCCCTCACCCCAGCAGATGATAAAGGGCGACCGCTCCCCTCCCCGCAGGCCCGGGAACAACCCTCCGCGGCACGCCTTGTAAATTGTTATGGCTCAATGAAGAGCGCGTCCTTAAATGTCACTCACACGGGAATTAAGGTGCAGACAGGCACGGAGACCAGCTGCCGGCACCGGCTGGGAGGAAGCGGGGGCTGGCGAGGCGGTACCGGCAGGACAGGGTGAGTGTCGGCATCTTCGGGAAGGGCAGTGGGGCACAGGGTAGAGGGTTCATCAGGAGTGCCCCCTGCTCCCTCCGGTGATCACTGTCTCCAATATCATCTCTGCTCCCAGGTTGAGAGGAGGGACAGACACACAGAGGCTAAGAATATGGACCTGGGCTGGGGGTATAGCTCAGTGGCATAAGCGCCTGCCTGGCAAGCGCAAGGTCGTGAGTTCAATCCCCGGTACCGCAAAAAAAAAATATGGACCTGCTCTGGGACCTGGGGTCCTCACACTCTCCTCCCCCTACTGCCTCCCTCCCCTCTTCCTCTCTCACCCCCTCACAGGTAGGTGGACCCCAAGGGCCAAAGCAAGGAGGAATCTTAATGAGTCTGACCCAGGCCAGCGGCCCAGGTCCAGCTGCGTGGGCCATGGTCTTGCTTTGCAGCCTCGGTCGCTAACTGCGGCGGGCACGGAGAGGTCAGCTTCCTGCTCTCCCATCTTCCCCAGGGCCCACAGAACTGCAGGCCCTGGCCGGGAAGGACCTGAGATCAGGGACCTCTCCGGCTTGAGCCTCCCGCCTCTGTGCTCTCTGAACCCTGTCCTTCCACAGTGCAGCCCATCTCACGCCCAGGAAAGGGTGTGCACCAAACGCGCCTTTGACAGATGATTTTCAAGCCCAGGACCCCTTCCCGCCTCTCTTTACACTCCCATGTGCTTCCTCAGTGACCAGGTTTAGTGTTGCCTCTTCCTGAATTTGAGATAAACAGAGTCATATGTTGTGCGTTCTCTCCTGTCTGGCTTCTCTGAGCCGACCGGGCAGCATTGGTGTGATTCACCATGCAGTTGGCATAGTCACAGCCCATCCGTTCTTGGCATCCTGGAGAGCGCATCATTGTCTGCGTACTGTCTCCCCAAAACACAAGCCACAGGCTGCAGCAGCCTGGCACTTCCGGTCCTCCGCACAGCAGGGATGTGGCTGATCCTCCCTGCCAGGAAGTCCCACTTAGGGCTAACCTGCATCCCTCATGTTGCTGGTTTGCTGTCTCTGCTGATGTCGGGACAGAGGGAAACTATGGCAATAATAAGACATCGACTGCATTCGCAAGGCATTTTCAACATATGAAGAAGCCCTTGCTAAGACGCTAATTGAGTGAGATGGATATTCTCACCCCGTTCTCGGCATTTTACATTTTCAGCTCCCGCGGCCCCATAACCACATCTCAAGTACTATAATCCCCCCGATTGCATAGACTCCGCGACCCAGAAGTTGAGGAACTTGTCCAAGGGAAGATTGCCAGATAAAATACAGAATGAGCAGTTCCATTTGAATTTCAGATACGCAAAGAATTTTTATAAGCATGAATATATCCCAAATGTTGCTTATTAAATTCAAACAGGCATCCTGCATTTTTTTATTTCCTGTGTACCTAGCTGCCCCAGCCCAAGGTCACAGCACGAGTGGCAGCAGGGTCAGGATGGGGACCTCCGTCCCACACTGCAGTCCTGTGCCACCGGCCCCTGTCCCCCTGCTGTGCTAGGACCTGGCGGCTACAGAGTAAAACAGATGGATTTGAGACTGTTTAGCAAATGAAACCAGCAAGAGTAGAAACAAATTTGATATGGAGATCGGAGGAGGGGGAGGGATTTCGGAAAGTAGTTCAATTCCTGGCTCCAGTAGATGACTCAGAGAGGGGTCCTCCCACCGGAGAACAGGTCCAGGTCACCTGGGGGCCCACGGTGGACCCCTCGTTTCCTGTTCACCTGGCCAGCAAGGGGCTCAGCCCAGCCTTGCCCTGCCCGGCCCGGCCCGGCCCAGGCACCTCAATCCTTGCATCTCTGCCATGGTCCCAATTTATAGCCTCAAAACCCATAAACACAGCCCAGGGCGGCTCCCTGACCTCCCGCTTCCCACGGGATGGATGCAGCTTCCCAATTGTAAAAATTGCAAAAATGAACAGGATGGTGTCAGAGGCTGCAAACATGGACACATGCTTTTATTTTGCAGAGAATAACACATTTAATGCCTTCTTGGAGGGGAAGCCTATTTGGCAGCCGGGGAAGGCAAGGCTAATAATAGCATTTGCACTGAGGCCTGCAGTGTGGAGGAAGAGCCATGAAAGCGTCTCCTCTCTGTTCCCAGCAACTTGAAAGCTCCCGCGAACACACGCACCTCCTTCCTCAAGGGGCAGAGGGAATTGTGGGGGAAATTGCTGTGGGTTTTCACTTTCAACTTGCTGTTTTGATCATCCGAAGCCCTCCAGATTGCCACCCCCTCATCCCAGAAACTGGGGTGGGGTCACTGTCTGGTGGAAAGAGAGCAGGGATGTGGGGGATACTTCCTCTCCCTCCATCTGCCCGCTGCCCCAAAGGGCCGGCCCAGAGGGAGCTGCCCTGGGCCCAGCAGCGCTGGACGCATCCCATCTGGTGACCAAGGGTTGAACAAGAATCGAGGGGTTGGCTCACGGACTAAATGATCCACCATGGACTGACACCTCAGAAACCATTAGGCCCCCAGGTGACCCAGCCTCGACCAGGGTGAGGCTCATTGTAGGCAAAGAGCACTGAACAGTGGGTCAAGAGAATCCGTTTTGCCAGTTTGAGCAAATTAGGCTCCATCCCGGGGCCGGGGTCCTGCTGAGGGGTGCTGGGCCGGTCCCGTGACAGCCCGAGCCTCAGGCTGCTGTCTGTGAAGTGCCTGTAGTAGAGACAGACTGTGAGGGTGAAATGAGCCTGTTGACATGAACGGGCTCGGAACTGTCTGATCTAGGGGAGGAGATCAACACCTTTATCCATAATATGATAACAATGCCTACCAATTTCTGAAAGATGCAGGGCTGCCCCAGATCAGGGTCCAAGCAGCAGCCAAAGACAGCAGCCCATGCCAGCACCTTCAAATGTAAATTAAACCAAGACAAACAAAATGCGTCTGTGGGCTGCACAAACCTCTGGGACCACCAGTTTCCATCGGCCGGGGTTGTGGTCCCTCCTCCCGTTACCAATCTCTGTGATTTCACTCCTGGCTCTATCACTCAATTATAGAATCAGAGGTGCTGTGGAGCCCTGGAAATCCAACCAAGCTTTCACCCATTTCACAGATGAGGAAACTGAGATCCAGAGGGAGGAAGCACTTTGTGAGCTGGATCTGCGCTGGGACTGCAAGCCTAGCTGTTGCTGTCTGTCACCCACACTGGGCCCCATCCCACACGTCTCCTGGCTTGCTGCCCTTTGGGGTTAGTCACTGCACCTTTCCAGACCAAGATTTGCCTCCCCGAAGAGTGAAGGGCATGGACTGGTGTAGCCCTCTGTCAGGGAGGAGTACAGTTCAGAAGCCAGACACCACCATCAGCACAGCTAACCCTCCGTAGGCTGGCTCTGTGGGGACGCCACCTAGTCCACATTGCTTTATTTGAACAAAATCATGTATTGCTGACAACCACCCTGGGAGATGAGTCCTATTATCCCCATTTTACAGCTATGGCAATGGAGGCCTACAGAGATCAAGTCATCTGATGTCATAGTTTGGATCAAAAATGTCCCCTAAGGGCTGGGGGTGTAGCTGAGTGACAGGGTGCTTGCCTAACATGCGTGAAGCTTTGGGTTCAGTCCCCAGTACTGTAAAAAAATGAAATGTCCCCCCAAAGGTTCATATGCTCAGAGCTTAGAAAGGGCCCAGATCACAGCTACTCCCAAAGGTTCATATGCTCAGAGCTGGGGCTTAGAAAGGGCCCAGATCACAGCTACTCCGGCCTCAGCAGTGTTCATCTAGCAATGAATTCATGGCTGAGGCTGCTCTTAGGAGGTACAGCCTAATTGGAGGAGGATTGCCAGGGATGTGACCTGGAAGGTGTGCTCTTGTCCCCCGCCCCTTCCTCTTTCTCTGGCTCTTTCTGTCTCCTCTTCCTGGCTACCAGGTGTTGAGCAGCTTCCTCCACCACACTCTTCTCGCTGATGTTCCTGCCCTGGAGCCAACCTACCATGGACTAAACCTCGGAAACCAGAAGCCTGAATCAACCTTTTCTCTTTCAAACTGGGGGTGTCAGGTACTTTGTCCCAGCCATGGAAAAGGAACAGCGCCCTTGCCACATTCCCACACTTCTCTGGAAGGGATTCGGCCCCAGGGTGCCACCCGGGATAGAGTCATCACGGCCAGCACTCCCAACAACCAGGAAAACTTTTACACACCATCTGGCTGTGGAATTACTAACATGTTGTAACCAAAGATTGGAGAAGAGATTAGGGGACTTGGTTCCTGGAGTGGAACTACTAAAAAGGAAAGAAGATACTCAGCTCTGCTATGGAGCAGTGCAAATAGGGCCCCGGCCTCCTCTTAGGCACTGGGCAAACACCAGGCGAGGGAGCATCCCTAACCAGCTCCATGTGTCTGCTGTTGGCCATAAAGATGGAGCTTATTGGTGCTTCGGTGACGGGAGAACTGAGCAGTAACAAAACGACCTCTTGGGGGCGGCGAGAAGGAGACAGGTTTATGCCCTCAGCAAAGAGGGCTGCTCAGCTGGGCCAGCCTCCCTACCCCCTCCGCGCTCGATGGGTGGGGACAGGGCTGGGGCCTTTGCTCTTCCTCCTCACGCTGCTGAAGCTGCCTCCCCCTATCCTTAGGGCTCAGGCCAGAATGGGCTTCCTGAGCTTTGCTGTCCTCCATCTCCGCGTGGTGGACTGCCTGAGTTCCAGTCCCAGCTCTGTCACTTCAGGACCTTGGGTGAGTCACTTCGCATTTCTGGCTCTCAGTGTTATCAACTGTAAAATGGGTATGATAAGAGAAGTCACCTCATGTGGCTTGTAAAGGGCTTAGCACTGCGTGGTCCACCAAGGAAGGCCGCAGTAGACCTTGTGTGTTAGTGCAGGGGTCAATTTAGCCCTAACTACCTTATAAGCTGGTGACTTGCGGTCCCCAAGAAGACCCTGGGCTTCTCACAGCCTCAGAACAACGCTGTGACTTAATCATCGTTGGCTCATATTAAAGATGACCACGGTGAAGCTCAGGGCATACATCAACTGCCTGCCCCCAAATCCACAGCTTGCACCAGGCAGGAGGCAGGGGTCGCCACTGGACTCTGTGGCCCGCCCACCCCGCTCCAGTGACCTCTGGGATTTCCCCTTCTGCTGCCTCCACCTGGGCTCTGTACCAGCCTGTGCGTAGGAGAGTGAGGGTGCAGAAGCCAGCAGCCAGGCCCCTGGGCTGTGGAAGCCAGGGGACTGCAGGCTCCGAGCCGGGCAAGGGAGCTGCCACGCGCATCGTACCCGACCCTGCTGCTGAGCAGACAGAGCCGCATGCAGCACAGACGTGCGCAGACCCCACGCAGAGGGCCTGCACAGGCCCGCAGGGACACACACGCCCGAGCCCCCTCCGCGCCCTGCAGAGCCCTGGGAAAGCAGTCACTGGGGCCGGGACCAAAACTCCGTGGCAGAGCGCCTGCCTAGCTTGTGCGGGGCCCTGGGTTGTTCCATCCCCAGCACCGCAAAACACAAATAGACAATAACGGAACTACTGTGCCTTTCCTAAGGAGCGGGCCGTGCTGCCACAGAGGTCCCTGGGGCTCCTTGTCACGCAGGAGGGATGCGCAGGATCGTGGAAAGTTCCCGTGGGGGTGGGGGGTGGGGTTCTTACATTTTCCTCAATGGGACGAGCTTGTGTGGAGCAGGGAGAGGTCAGAGAATTGGGGGATTAGCAGACCCGAACCCTTTAACCCACAATCTAACAGTTCTATGACCCACCCCCCCAACATCTGACTTTGGTAGGTATCCAATCCATCCAGGACGCTGATTAGGCCTTCAGTGCCCCAGGCCACCCCACCAGAGTGCCATCCCCACCCGGCAGGGCTGCAAGCAGAGGACCACAGGACCATACGGCAGAGCTGAAATGTCACTCTGAGGTCACGCTCTTTCCCATTGTGCGAGGATGACTCAGGCACCTGCACAGCCCACACAAGCATCTGGGGACATGGGAAGCAGCAGGCAGAGGTGCGAGGGACGACTCGGCAGGGCTGTAACATGTAGAAGTGAATGGGCTCCGGATGCACTGGTTCTGGGGTTAGCAGGTGCTGTGTGACCTTGCATGAATGACTCAGCCTCTCTGAACCTGGAAGGAAGCAAGATAACAGGTGCTCCACGCACAGGGCTGTTGTGAGACTTCAAGGAGCTAATACCAGCACACCCAGAAGCAGGTCTGGTTTCCCCTCCTGCAGACCCGGCATTGGGTGACCTCCCAGAAGGGGCTGGGCGCATGGTCAGGGAGCTGCCTGAGGAGGGTGGGCCACTTCTCCTGACCCAGCCACGTACATGGAGGGGCAGGAGGACGAGGAGGTTCCCTGTGTTTCCTTCTTAGATTTCGCCTCTCTCATCTCCTGGGTCAAGGTGGTCTCAGGCGTGCTCCCAGAAGTGCAGGATGGACATTCCAATAACCTACAATTTCTTTTCCCCCACTGGGCAGGAGAAGCTGGAGCACTGAAGTGCCCGCAGGAAATGGGAACTCCTCCTCAGGACTGTGGACTCCACGTTCAGGGTGAGGGGCCTGATGCAGATCCTGCTGCTGACCCAGCCTTTCCCTGGTCCTGCCCCAGCCCTAGCCAGTACCTCTCTAAGCCTGTGCCTGCCCCAGGGCCGGAGAAGCACAGTGGCTCCCAAGGCCACGCCCCTCCAGAAGCTCCCTTGCTCTGGAGCCAGAAAGACCAATCTCCACACGCAAACCATCGAGACTGCTCAAGCCTGGTTTCTTCCTGACTGGGGTTTTTGTAGCCAGGCTGGTTTGGAACTCATAGCGATCCTCCTGCCTCAGCCTCCCGAGTGCTGGGATTACAGGCTTGCGCCACCATGCCCGGCCTGACTCAGGTTTGTTAAGTGAATAATCACAAACACACAGGTCTTGGCCCTGCCAGCTGCCAACTCTTAGCTTTCCAAGTTCTCCAGGGCTTCCATGTCCTCCAGCCAGCCCCACTGCATTCTCTTAGCCTTCTTGGGTCTCTTTTGCATCCAAGCGTGGCCTTAATTCTGGCCCTTAGGCTTGGGGCTCATTAAACCTTCTTGGGGATTTTCTAAAACAGAAATGCCCAGCACCATGCCCAGAGGCCCTGATGTAGTTGCCCGGGGCAGGAGGGCATGGAGCCCTCTGGATTCCCCAGGTGACGCTAACCTGCGGTCAAGGTGGAGAACCAAGGACCAGGCTGTGGTCTCTCCAGGACAAGGGGGCGCTTGGCTACCTTTTACCTCTGAGTCCTAGCGCCTGGCTCACAGTCTGTACTCAATAAGTGTTTGTTAGTCCGTGATTGCCTGGCAGCTGGGCTGCTCCAAGGGTTGAGCTCGCCTTCCTCTCTGGCAGGTGGGGCTGTGGTTAAGTTTGTCTCTGTTGGCAGATAGACTGGCTCAAATTCCTCCACTTCTCTTATGGTTTAGATGTAGCAAGCCCCACCCCCCGCCAGCCTTGTGTGTTCAGAAGGGGTGCTTGTGGAAGATGACTGGGTTACGGGGGGCACTGTGGCTGGTTTGCTCTTCGGAGAGAGAGCCTGGTTGGGGGCGGGTGACTGGGGACACGGCCTGCAAGGTTCATCTCCCTGCCGGGCTCCTCCTTTCTCTCCCTGCTTCCTGGCCGCCATGGCGTGAGCAGCCCTCCTCCACCGGACATTTCCGCTGTGCCCCTCCCGCCTTGGAGCTGGACGGAATCCTCTAAAATTCATGAGCCGAAATGAACCTGTCTTCCTTTAAACGGTGGGTGTTGGCTATTCTGTCCCAGGAACAAGGGAAGTGACTAAGACACCTTCCTAGGCCTTGAGCAAGCTGGACCTCAGTTTCTCCACCTGTAAATGGGGCTCCTAGGTGCACCCACCGCACAGCGGTTTAGAGGAAGGAGAATGTGTCTATGTGGGCTCAGCACAGGCCATTGGCACTAACCTGGGGCCTGGCAGGAAGCAAACGGCTCACTTAAACCCCTGAGGAGGGCTTACCAGAGATGCGGGCAGGGCTGAGGAAGACCGCAGGCGATGGTGCAGACTGGCCACACTGAGGCAGTGACCATGCTAGGCCCAGAGGAGAAGCGGGGAGAGAGTCACAGGGACCCAGAGTCAGCTACCCTGCAGGAGAAGGACCTTGACAGGCAGTATGAGCACGGGGATGTGCACCCCACCTTCCAATCCTCCTTCCTCCCACCCCTTACAGGTGCCCAGCTTTGAGCAGTGCCACCCAGGGAGCCTGGGGGACACAAACAGGTTCTCTGGGGACACGGCCCAGGGCACAAGAGGGCGGAAAGTAGATCTGGAGGAACAAAGGGATTCCCAGCCCCTATGCTAGGGCCTGTGCTGATTAAACACCGTTATTGGTATCCCTGTTCCTTTGGCTCCTGCATGATGCCTGGCCTTGATATCCAGCTGTACTGCACACATGTCGGCCCTCCCTAGAGTAGCAGGTGGCCTAGGGGCCAGGACCAGGTCCCAGCCGGGCTGTCAGACTACTCAGGAGGGTGTCATGTGTGCTGGAGGATGGAGGGAGGGGGCCGTCTCCTGATTGCGCATTTCCGTGTGCAGCCAACAGGGGCTAGCATGTTTGACAAGCCATGGAGATGGCTTTGCTGTAGCAGGCTTCATTAAAATGGAAGCACATTGCTCGAGCATGCAGATGGGGCTACTTCATTACTTTTTAATTTGTTTACAGAAAGCCCTTGTTTGGTGAACACCATCTTTGCAAATAGTAACAAATGGGCATGTTGGTTGCCTCCAAAGCCATGATGTCCCCGGGTAAATAGGCTGAAACTGTGTTTGAACACTGAGCTTGGTTCCTCTTAATAGAATATGACACGCTTTTCCAAACGTGCAGGAGGCTGGAGAGAGGGATCCTGAGTGTGTGCGGTGTGTGGTGTGTGGCCCTTAGCCCCTCTCTGGACCCACTTTTTCAGTCTACACACAAGTGACCGGGGCTGGATGGCCTTCTCATCCCTGGCATCTTTTGTGGTCCACGGCGTCCTGGTTTCTCTACTTTACCACCCTGAAAGCTGCCGGCCTCCCTCAACTACCAGCCTCCCAACTCCCAGAGGCAGCCCTCTTCACTGAAATGAAATAAAACCCACAAATTACCAAACGCATGTTGAAAATGGGTCAAATTGAACGAAGAATACTTAATGGAGTGTAACTACTCAACTGACAGTTCAAATACTTATCCCGGAGCCCCCAAAAGCAATGATATTCACAAATTGGTCAGGAGCCGCAAATCTCAGCTTCCTTCCACACGAGCTGTGCGCCAGTACTCCGCCTCTCTGAGCCCCACTTTCCTCCTTCATAAAGTGGGATAATAACAGTACCCTTGGGGTGTGGTGTAGCTCAGTGGTAAACCACTCGCCTGGTATGTGTGAGACCCTGAGTTCAATCCCCAGGACGGCGAATGGTGATGGTGATGATGCTGATACTGATGCTGATGCTGATGCTGGCGATAACTGTACCCTTGTCATAGGGTTCTTACGGAGATTACGTTCTTTGTAATCACTCAGAAGAGGATGGTACATCCGCTAGTGCTTAGTAGTTGCTAACTCCCATCTTTAGTGCGGCAGTAGTGGTATTTCTGTTACAGAGAAAACATGTTGACAACGGGTCACAGAAAGTCACCCATTCAGCAGAATCGGTCCTGACCACCAAGGAAGTCCCCACACTGCCCATCCCAACCACTCCTTCCTGGAAGCACTCACCACGTCCAAAACCCTCTTCTGCTGTAACTTCCTGTGTGTAGTCAGGCTCCCACGGGGAGCTGCTGGGCCTCACCCATGTCTCCTGAGCCCCTACAGCAGCATCTGCCTGGGTCTGCAGACATACCTGGAAGTCAAAAGGAAGAATGTCCAGTCCACAGAGTGTGTGGGGCTGGCTGGATGTAAGGCGAACTCTGGAGTGAAGCCCCAGGCTCAGCACCCTTGGCCCATCTCCGGGGCGTCCCCTCTGGGCACCTGGGATGAGGTGCCAAGGTGAGGATGATATGTCCTTTTGGGTGACTTTACAGTTTACCCCGTTTTCTGGAAGCCTTCACCCCCACATGATAATCTGGTGAGAAAGGCCCTCCCTCTAGGTCCCCACTTCAATAAAACAAAGCGTCCACTCTCCGGAGAAGTGTCCCAAGACTCTTGTTACGACAGTCACGGTTGACGGTGAAAGTACCGCGCACTTGCTCAGAGCACACTTACACGTACCAGGCATGAAGCCGCGCAGGTCACACACGCCAGGCGCTGCGTCTTCCCCCACTATGTAGGTGAGGAGACCGAGACATAGAGCAGAGAAGGAGCCCTTGCGGGTCACAGGGCTGGATTCAAACAGAGAGTCAGTCACAGGTGTTGGATTCCTGATCTCACTCCACCTTCCTCTCTGCTGTCTCTCCCTGGGGAAAAAAAATCCCACGACAACTGGAAGTAAAAAGATTCAGCAATGTTGGTAGCAATCCACTGTATTGCTAAGGTTCTAAATCCCAACGCCCGTCATTAGCCGTGAAAGATAACGACTGGCCCGTGAGGTGAAACCTTCCTTGCGATAGCACTATCAGTGAGTGAGGTGGCAGGAGACAGGTGTCTCTTTGGCTGGTGGACACGAGGGGAAGTGTTGTACAACCCCGTGTCCCAGCACAGCTATGGTACTCCCGGTCACTCAGCTGGCCTCTGTTCACCTCATACATATAAAACATCTGAAGCCCAGAGAGGTTAGGCTACTTTTCATAGATCACACAGCAAGTGATCAGGAAATCTAACCCGTTCAGTTCGATGAATGTTTAATACAGCATCTGCTAAAGCGGTAAGTTACATTCTTTGCACTAGAAGCCAGAGAGGAAATCAGGGGCCAACTCATTAACCAGCTGAGGGGCTGGAACCAGCTCCTCCCACGCCCGGGTCACAGCCCGGGTTATTTTCTGCCTGAGTGCAGCTGCTGCCCTGGGGTAGTCACTTAAAGGTTTTAGCCCCTGGTTCCTCTCAGGAGAGGAAAAAGGAAAGGGCAGGCGCCTACTGATCCTTTTGTTTGGGGGCAGATGAATCCCTTTTACCTCTCACAAACTTCCAAATAACCCTCTCCCTTCCAGTAATTCTGGGAAAATGAAAATCGACTCCCACCGCCTCTCCCTCCCATTACCTTTTAAATTAATGGTGTGGGGAAGGGGCCAGGGCAGGGCCTGCTCTGTGTGTGCTGGCTCCAGGCTCCTCCACTCCTCACCCTCCTCCTCCTCCTCTAGGCCTGAGAAATTACTGTCCCGCTCAGTGATGTCACAGGCCAGGGCGGGGAGGAGGCCAGCTCCCACAGGGGGACCCGAAGACAGCAGCAGTGTCCAGCCAGGTGACCCTAACAGCAGACAGCTGAGAGGGGGCCCGAGCCCCTCGGAGGTCCTCGTTGGAGGTTTTCCGGCGTGGCGACAGCGGCTTATTACAGCTAATTTCCTTCCCCTTGCTGCAACTGAAAATCCACAGGGTTTTCACAGCATATTTGTGTATCTGGCGCTCTCTGCTCACCTCCCCTTGGGAACCATAAGAGATGCCAAGGAAAGAAACAACATGGTCTTCCATAATTTCAAAGTCAGTTCCAGAGTTAATAATAAATTAAGAGCCGGGGGCGGGGAGGAGGACTGGATGTGGCGGCACAGTCTGTGCGGGGAGCCCAGCCCTCCAGCAACGGCTTCTGGGAGTCAGAGAAGAGCAGGAACCCGGGGGCTAGGACAGGAGGTGGCTGCCCAAGGTGGAAGGCTGTCTCCTGGGCCCTGGGTCTGCGGTACCAAAGCCTGTCCCCTGTCCGGAATGGGGATGGGACAAGGCGAATGGAAGAATGTTCTCTCCAGTGCCTCCCTCTGAGAGGAAGAAGGGGACACCAGGGAGGGACACCAGGGAAGGACGCCCCAGCAGAGCCCCCACGACCCCCACTCTCTGAGGAAGGGCTGAGGGCTGCTTCAGAGACCCCTGGAAGACCGGACTAATCCCCTGGCCTCTAAAAAGGCTGCCACACCAGTAGCCACAGTTGGAAATCCAACAGCCCCAAAGGCTTGTCCTTTTTCCTCCTCTTTGGTTTTCCAGATGGGGAGCTCCCTAAAGACCAGGGCCTCTGCTGTCAGACGGGAAGCTCCGTTAATTCCAGTTAGATCGGAGCTCATGAGGGAACTCAAGAGCCTCAGGGTGGTGGGGGATGGACAAGATGGCAGCCCTGAGCCCCCTAAAGAGCTGTCCCACGGGCACAGGATTCCCTCTGCTAGGCACTGCCCCTAAGGAGAAGAGCCAAGAGTAATGCAAGATGAGACGGGAGACCCGATTTTGGTTCCAGAGAAGGATGGACTTTCCCGCAGAGCAGGTTGGTGAGCGGTCATGAGCCTCCTACTACAAGGAGTAGAGCTTCTGAGGAGGCGACCAAGGCACAAGGTGGCCACTAAGATCGCATTCAAGCCCAGGAGTCGGTGGTGATGGATGGATTTGCCCGGCTCATCCGTCCCAGACCCAAGCTACCCCTCCTGATAACCCCAGAGGGTGGCGCTGAACACATTCATCAGGCCAACAGCCAGCACGGGCAGAGGAGCAGCAGCTGGCAGGGGTCTGTTCCTGCCCTCTCCACGGCCTGGAAGACAGTCCCCTTGACTAGCAGGCGGACAGGCAAATAGGAAAATAAATCTTCCCGATCACCAGGGCAGTGTCTGTCCTTACCACTACGGAGGGGCAAGGCCTCGGCTGCCCTGCACATCACGGGGGACCCACTCATTCATCACAGGGCGCTGGAACACAGCAGAGCAGGAAGTGACTGGCCCAAGGTCACGCGGCCAGTAAAGGGCAGGGGCCGGGCAAAGACCCAGAGCTCCAAGCTTGTCCTTCTCTCCCTGCCCTCGGCCGTCCCCACAACACATCTGCTCCTTCCGCAGCAGCATTCCTTCCCAGACATACGTTCACCCCAGGTAGGTCCCCGAGTGGACAGAGATAATATATATACATGTTCTTTGCTGGCCCAGGACGAGCAGGTGGGAATGTGTCCGGCTGTTTGCATGCCTCTCCCGCGATGTGGGGTGGGCTGGGGGGTCACCCTTCACCTTCCCATGCCTCAGGGCTTCCTTCTGGGAGCCCTTCAGGGCCTCGAAGCCCAGACACTCCTTCTTCGGCTGCTCCTGCTGGGCTGATAAACTCCTCCGCTACCAGACACTGAAGATTCAGTGTGGCCTCTCCCATGGGAATTTACACTTTAAGTCAGGCTCTGCTGGAGAAAGGACTTCATCAAGAACCTAGACCTCCCACTTGAGGACTTTCAGGAGGAGGGCCACGTGGGGCGGTGTCAGAGATGCCTGCCTGCTCCTCACCACGCCCCAGGAGACAGGAAAGGAGGGCTGGGGTTGGGGTGGGGGCGCTGTCCAAGAGGCAGGCAGCCAAGGACCCCTGCACAGCCGAGGAGTTAGGAGCAGTCTGGGACGGCCTCAGCCCCGTGTCCTGCAGCGACCTGTGCTACCTCTCGCTGTGGGTCAGGAAGTCCTGGACAACAGGAATCCACATTTGGACCGACTGACCCAGATCACTGCAGACCACCCTCCCTCACCCACCCATCCTACCAGGCCTGAGACGAGAGGGAGTGACCTCTGTGGGTGTCCCAGGAAGGTCTCTGGCTGCATCAGTCCTGGGGAGCAAGATGGGCAGAGCGGATTCCCTACTGGGGACTCGAGGAGAACCAGCCGGGGCAAGCGCTGGTTCACAGGCTGGGCAGGGCTGAAGCCCCTGCCGCTCCCCCGCCGCCCCTCCTCCATCCCAGGGCAATTTCCCCAGAAGTGTGTTCACGCTGGGCCCTCCGAGGCTCAGTGCCAATTGACTGGATTTCAATCAGAAATCCATCTCCCTTAAGGACCACTTTGGATAAAAGCAGAAGTAACCTGCAATCTAGATGCTGATGTCAGGCCAAGGATAGGAGAGCCGGGGAGAGGCCCACTGCCCACCCAAGGCCCCCTCTGAGATGTGGCCTCTGCTGAGACAGGCTGGGCTTCCAGGGGTCCAGCAAAAGGGGACACGCACATGCGCACACACACACACACACTCATCCCTGCCGCACACCGGATCCCTGAGCTTGGCTGTGGGGTTAACCACCTGGGAACATCTGGCCAGGCTCCAGGAGCCAGTGGTTCCAGGGTGCACCAGCGACAAAGGCTTCTCTAGCCCAGCTAAGGAGGATCAGAGCGTCCTCCGGGCCAGAAAGAGCTGCGCAGTTCTCCCCACCCACCCAACCACCCACCTCCAACTCCAACTCCATGGCCAGCTGCCATTTTTGCCACGCACTCCTCCCTATAATGCGCTATACACTGCCTATATTGCGGTCGGGAAGGGGTCACTCAGAGACAGAGGCTGCTCCAGCCTGGCCCTCCCCCAGGGCCCAGGCCGGGGCTGCAGGGACAGCGGGGACCCCAGGAGCTCCGGCCGCTCTCCCTGGCAGCGCAGAGCCTCCCTGGTAAATAATGTACGCCTCCCGGGCCGGTTGCAGCAGGTAGTGTATCAAAGTAATATCGCACCGCGAATTGCAGTGTAATCGCCATAATTTAGGGCCCCGTGGGTGAGCCCGTTTCCGAAAGGCTGCGCGCCCGGACAGGCAAGGTGACTAGAGCGTCCTGCGCCGGCTTTGACCTCTGGATTTCCTCCAAGCTAAGTGAGGCCATAAAAAATTCAGAAGCCCAGGCTGTCTCCCGGCAAATGGGGTGTGGGCAGAGAGGCTGTATTATCTACCTAGACCCAGAGACGTGGATGCACCGGCCACCGGGAAAAAAACAATGCTAGGGTGCCGGTGCGTGGGGTCCCACGCGTCCCCCCGCCACGTGGTCTTGGGTTGGGGGTGCCTGCCAGCAACCGGGAGATGTGTCCATTAGGATCTAGGTGCCCCGGCCAGCCGCGGGCTGGCGAGGAGCTGTGCTTTCTGTGGGCTGCTGTGCTTGGTGACCCTCCTGCAGCCCACCCCCCAAACCTGGCTGGGCCGAGGCCGCCCCTCCCCCGCACCGGGAAGCCGGGGCATTAATATTCCTGCCCAGGTCCTCCCCTCCCCCAGCCCCGCCGGGGAAAGTCGCTGCGGAGTGGAGAGCTGATAACAGGAAATGTATTTGCGGGCTCCCTTCTAACTTCTTGATGGGAGCCAGCTGGAAGCGCAAGAGCTGTGTTGTCCCTCTGCGCTCTGCTCCTGGTGACCTGGAAGGTGATAATCAGGAGCTTCTCTCAGGAAAGACAAAGAAATGGAAAAACTTATCTGGCCCTGCAGCCCTGTCACATTGCATTTGCAGAAAGCCTCGTGTCTGGGGCCCCACCCAGGTGTCAGGGAGGGGGCTATTTTGTGTATTTTTAGAAGTCCCCCCCATGCCTAATTATGACACCCAGAAGTCCTTGTTTCCTCTTCCTCCATCTCCGAATTATCCTGTGTGAGGAGATGTACAGACACCAAGCTTTCTCGGGTAGACAATCAGTTTACATTCCCAGCCCCCTCCCAGCCGCTCCTGTCCCTGGCTGTGTCCCTTTGCCCTGGGGACTTGGCTTGAGACCTGGTGGGAGAGCCTAAGAACCAGCATGCTCATTACACAGCGCGTCCTTAGGGCAGAGCGTTCTGCAGCAAGGAGAAAAACAATTTATATGTATGTGGACATGGAAAGATGTCCAGGATATATTGTTAAACAGAAAAAGCAAGCTGCAGAATAACGTGAAAAGTACATCTCATTTGTGTTATGTTTTAAATCAATGCTATATATACTTGCGTGCTTGCATATGCATAGAAAGTGTCTGGAAAGATTAAAAAAGGAGAGTGTTAACAATAGCTGTCCCAAGGGAGAAGAAGAAGGAGATTTTAACCTCTTAAATTTTTGTACTGTTAAATTTTCTCAACAAAGAATTGCATGCCTCTCTTAATTTAAACATAAGTCTTTTCTCTCACCAAAAAAAAAAGAAAGAAAGAAAAGAAAGCAAGCTTCCAGTCCAACACTTTCTCATGCAGCTAAGGCCCTGAGATGGAAAAAGACTCCTCCAAGTTGCACAGTCCTGATAGCCTGGCCTCAGCCCCTGTCCTGTGTTCCCTCATGCCAGGGTCATAGGCCTGTCAGCCAGAGCCACCAGGCCCAGGGGGAATCACGGACCTGTCCCTTCCCAGAGCAGGAAGTGTTCCCCACGGGTATGACCCATTTTGAGGAAGCAGTCAGATAAAGGCAGAGAATCCCAAAAAGGACAGGAGTTGGTGA